CACCTTTGCCCTGCCCCCCAGCTCTTAGCTCCCCCCTGGGTTTCTGATCACTGTCAGTGGCAGGGGGCTTCTTCCTGCTTTCCCTTTCGCCTCCCTGCATTGTGCCTACATATGCAAATTAACCACCATATTTGTTGGCAGTTAACTGCCATCTTAGTTGGCAGTTAATTTGCATATAGCCCTGATTAGCCAATGAAAAGGGTAGCGGTCGTACGCCAATTACCATTTTTCTCTTTTATTAGTGTAGATATCAGAAACATGGGAGCTCCAAGTGCTTAATGCTATTGGGAGCCAAATAGAGTAAGGTACAGTACCTGTCGTCAGAGCCGTAGATTCTATTAGTACATGAGACCTCATACAAATAAATAAATGTCATGTGAATGGGAGGGAATGGTCAGGGAAATTTCCTTTTGGAGTGGGAGGGAGTTGGACTTGGGTTTGAAGTAAACTGGAGGTATCTTGAGTAGGCTGTAGAGAGTTGAAAAGGTAGCCCAGAGTCTGGAGTTCAGACAGTTGCAACATGGATCAGTTGGCATTACTGGACATCTGGTTAGAAAGGTGGACAGAGACAGGATCCTGGAGGGCCCTGAATCAGGGCTAAGGTGTGTTCCCACCACTCTGAATAGGTTAAAGCTATCCTGAGAGGGGTGGGAGGACAGTATGGGACACATGGGGAACTTGGTGGTTTTGAGAAATTCCTTGCAGGGGCGTGTAAATGGCTGAATGAGGGAGCGGGGTTAATAGGCCAGCTAGTAGGAGAGAGGAAGAAGGGCTTGGCCTGAGACTAGCACTGTAATAGGCAAGAAAGGAGGACATTGAAAGACCTTTCGTAGGAAGAATACTGAGGACTTGGTGACTGGATGTTAGGGCCAACAGGAAAGGGCAGTCACAGAGAATGCGACCATGACTAAAAATGGTTCGGACTCTTACCTCCACCTCACAGAGGGCGTGGCAGTGAAGGGCGTAGATTTTGGAGCCTGGGTTTGAATTCTGTCTTTTTCTTCGAGGCGTTGGGTGACCTTGCTCTATTTACTTAACCATCTGTGCCTTAGCTTCTTTGTCTGTAAAGCGAAGATAATGCATTTCTTTTACGTTGCGAGGATTTTAAATTAATATATGTAAAGTCCTGGCATATAGAAGATACTTAATAATTATTAGTTGAATGGGTGATGTCCAGAGGAAGAGTCAGAATCTGCACTCAAGTTTGCTCAGCTCCACCACATTAGCCTGCTGTTCTAGAGTCAGCCTTCCTCAGTCGCCGCCTCACTGTGCCGGCCTGTCCTCGTGGGGCTGTGTGTCCTTTGGCCTGGTCCTGGAATTCCGCCGTCACACTCACGCCGGGTCACCCACCTCGACTTTGTGTAGACTCTCCTCTCCTCTAACCGCCTCTGTTTCATGGAGGGCCTTCCGAACCCCTCCGCCTCTGCACATGCTGTCAGTTCGTGATCTGGGCGAGCCTCACTATCTTGGGGAAGGCGCTCTGGACTACACCGTCTGTGCCTTTGGCTGAATTAAATCCCAGATGTTTCTGTAATGACTCCACACACACGTATCTTACCTGCTGAAAATGAATCTGTTGTAATAAAGGTCCATGGCTACTTTTAAATTCCTCCCAGTGCTAGGTGCACAGTAAATACTTAAGAGTGGATGAAGAGGCATTCATTCTGATGGCTGAGGTTGAGTTCAGGCCTCCCTCATCTCACTCCTGGGTTATCTCACCAGCCTCTCTAGCTGGTCTCTGGATTGCAGCCAGTCTGCCCCTAGGCCACAGCCACACTGCCGCCACTGGAGCCATCCTTATCCAGTCTTTCCATGGACCTTAAGGCCTCAGCCTGGTCTAAAAGGCTCTCTGCAACCCGATCCGCTCTTGCCACTCCAGTCTTACCTGCTGGCACTCTTTTCTGCACACCCTGTCCTCCTTGCAGTTCCCAGAATGTTCTGTATGCCCTTCCTGGCTGACTCCTTTGCTTGAAGCCCTGCTGAGCACAC